TTGTGATTCTAAACTTCATGTTTTCTTTTGGGCGGAGGCGATCAACACGGCTTGCTATGTTTAAAATCGTGTCCTGATCAACAAATCCTAGATGAAGACACCATATGAGAATCTCTATGGACACAAGCCATCTGTAAGCCATTTTCAAGTATTTGGTTGCCCTTGCACCCTTCTTCACTTGGAATCCAACCCAATATTCAATGCCAAAGCTGATGATTGTTATTTTGTAGGTTATGTTGCTCGTACTGCTTACCGGGTATACAACAAGAATACGAAGCAAATTGTGGAGTCTTCGATGTTTGTTGGCTTGAAGAGAATGAGACAAACGCTAGGGTGGGTCCTGATTGGCTATTTGACTACACATCTCTATTCAAATCCTTTAGTGTGTCATATGATAACCAAGTTGGGTCTACCTTTGGCTCGAAGACTACAATTAAAGACGATAAGGAAGAGGTTGTCTACAGACCGCCATTGGTTTCTACTACTGATCTCCCGGTGGAGTCATATGTTTCAACTGCTTCTCCAGAGTCTCCAACACCACAAGTTGCTCCATATGTTGAAGTTACTCCTCTAAATCCAGTTGAAAAAGAGTTCATGAACCAATATGTTTCCGCTATCACTCAAAATCTAATGGAACTTCTTTTTCCTGAACAAATCGCAAATGAGTTTGTAGCAAATTCCCCACATGATGCCGGTACATTTACCGTGGATTTTTTAGCACATGAAGGAGCCATTAATATCCATAATCTTCTAGTCACATTCAATGACATCAGTCACGAAATTCCCTCTCGCATACAGCGCGATCATCCAATAGACAACGTCATTGGCCAGCTGAGCGACGGTGTTCGAATGAGAATTCAGAGTGGATACGTCAACACATGTCTCTATTCTTGCTTTATTTCTCAAATAGAGCCCAAGAATGTCGAAATGGCTTTGAATGATCCCTGTTGGGTTGATGCCATGCATGACAAGCTTAATCAATTCGAAAGGCTCTGGGTTTGGAAGTTGGTGGACCTACCTAAAGGCAAGAAATCTCTCGACACTAGATGGGTGTTTCGGAACAAGAAGATGATTTGGGTGTAATTGTAAGAAATAAGGTGAGATTGGTCGTCCGTGGGATAGGACAAGTAGAGGGTCTTGATTATACATAATTTTTTGCTCCGGTCGCGCGCTTGGAAGCTATTCGTATCTTCCTCGCTTATGTTTCTCACATGAACTTCACTGTATACCAAATGGACATCAAGACAGCTTTCTTGTATGGCAAGGTGAAGGAGGAGATTTATGTTGACCAACCCCCTGGGTTTGTTAACTCCAAACTTCCTAATCATATCTACAAGTTAGACAAGGCTCTGTGTGGATTGCATCAAGCTCCCAGAGCTTAGTATGCTACACTCACACAGCACTTGCTCGACCATGGCTACTCTTGCGGCACTATCGATTAGACTCTATTCATCAAGCATGTCGGTTCAGACCAGATTCTTGTCCAAATATACGTGGACGATATCTTCGGGTCGACGAGTCCTCAGCTTTGCAAAGAATTCGAGGACGTCATGAAAAAGCGGTTCGAGATGAGTTCATTGGGGGAGATGACCACGTTTTTGGGGCTTCGAGTCAAACAGTGTTCAGCCGGGATCCTTATTTATCAAGCCAAATATATCGACGATATGCTCGAGAAGTTCGGGTTCAGAGACACTAAGAATGCTTCGACACCCATGGCGGAGAGACCACTGCTAACTCCTGATCTTGAAGGCGAATCCATAGATCAAACGTACTATAGATCGATGATTGGATCGCTGATGTATATGATCGCGAGTCGCCCAGACATTACGTTTGCAGTCTATCAATGCGCGCGCTACCAAGCTAATCCTAAACTGTCTCATCTTTACTGTTGTTAAAAGGATTTTTCGGTATATCAAAGGCAGCCCGAAATTGGGTCTTTGGTATCCGAAAAATTCTGAATTTGACCTTTACGCTTTGCAGACAGCAATTATGGTGGTTGCAAGCTTGACAAGAAATCGACTTCAGGTGGATGTCAATTTCTTGGAGATAGGCTGGTGTCTTGGCAATGCAAGAAGCAGCATACGGTTTTGACCTCAACAGCAGAAGCAGAATATGTAGTTGCATCTTCCTGCTGTTCTCAAGTCATATGGATCCAACATCAGCTGTTGGATTATGGTTTGAAATTTCAAGAAACCTCTATATTCTGTGATAATGAGGTTGCGATCCAAATTGCTAAAAATCCGGTCCAACACTCAAAAACCAAGCACATCGATATCAAAATTCATTTTATCAGAGAATGTTATGAGCGCTCGCTCATTCGGCTAGAACAGGTTCGCTCTGATAATAATGTGGTGGATCTGTTCACCAAGCCGTTTAACAAAGCTCAATTCGATGTGTTGGTCAACTTTTTGAAAATGATTCATTTTGAGGATTAATTTTTGTTTAGGTTAGTTTAAATTTGCACATTTTATTTTTATTCTCTTCCATGCACAAATTTAGGGGGAGAAATAAACAAAAATAAACCAAACAAAAATTAGAAAATTAAAAAAAAAAAACAAAACAAAAAAAAACATTACAAAAATAGAAAAATCAAAAATATTTCAGTGCAATGATGTATTGGGAAGTGATATCAAAAGGTGATAACAGGCAATCTGGATATGTGTAAGGTACCAAAGCTTAATTGTCTAGGCTCTGTGTTCGATGCGCTGGCAGGCACGAAGAATTTAACAGACTTGACTAGGTGCAGATGAACTTAAGGAATCTAGAGACTTGATAAATCTTGACCTAGATAGTTCCGTTTAGCCTGACAATACGACGCTCGGACAGGTTGAGTAGGGAGATATACATGAGAATCCACCAGTCACATTAAAGAGCCCGTATCTAGAACTGTGGTTTTACTTTTCCTCGATGTACAGATTCTGTCCTTAATTCCAGTATTGACGGAGCGACTGGGGAATTCCGATAAAGTAGGTATGTAGAAAATTATTTTCTTTCTTTCTTACTGTTAGTCATATGTTGCCTCCTCTACGTGATTGGAAGAGATCTGACCTGGACTGTAACATATGCAAATCTATTTCACTGCATCTTATATCTATGAAATTCTTCCTATCTGTTAGCCATATGTTGTCTCCTTCGTGTGATTAACAATCCGACCTGGTACACAGCATATGCAACCTTCTACTTCTCAATCCCTCTAAAACTATAATTAATCATAATCTAAATCTATCCTCTCTATGAATAATAGTCTGCTCACCTAAAGTAAGGAGTATCTTAGAAGTTCTTGATTATTGGGGTATATCAGGAAGCGGGAAACATGTTCTAGTACATCTAAAATTGAACAATTCTAGATTGTCTATAGATCTCGCTGCTCAACTTAGGTGGGCAACAATATCCTTGGTCGTCGTCAGATGAATGGTCCTTAGGAAGTTTTATCTAGGAACATAGGATCAACTTGTCTTGTCGCTTATAGCATGTCCAAATTTTGTCACAATTTTTCGTGCTTAAGTGGACCACAATATTGGCGATCGACCAGATTTATTTATGAAAGGGGAGGTACTGATAAATTGAAAACGATTGTCTAACAAATTTGATCCCACATCACAAAAGGTTAAACAATTTCAAGATAGAGGATTAAATTTAGTTTAGAATTAAATGTTTTATTATCCTTTTATTTTATTTTATTTTATTTTATTTCTATTTTTATTTTTTAAATTTTTAGGATTGATAAAATTTTATTTCATTTAATCCTCAAAATGATTTATTTTTAAATATTTTTTTAGTATTGGGCTTGTGATTTTAATGGAAAAAGGAAGCCCAAGTGTGAAATGTATAAAAAGGGGTGTGCAGTTTCTTTACAGTCATTGTTTACCCTTCTTAAAAGCTCAACTGCACACGGCTCTTCCATCTCTCTTTCTCTCTAAAAACCTCCAAATCCATATTTTTTTTCCAGAAATTGAAGCTGTATAACTCTAAGAATTGCAAAAACGACACCCACAATATGATTCTCGTGCAAAATCGATCATGAAATGGTGGTTAATCGAGTTGTGTGTGCGGTCGCACACGCCATGTGTGGCTACACACACTCTTTATGTGATTGAATATGTGTGCGGTTGCACACATCCTCGAGTGCGGCTGGCCATGAACCATTGGAAAACTTGTATGGTTGTACATTGTGTGCGGCTGCACACTCTGTGTGTGGCTGGATATTGGTGTATGGTTGTATACCCAAGATTAATAAATTTTTAAAATAGTTGAAAATATCTTATTTTTAAATGCTCTAATGAATACTTGTGTTTTTCATATCAACATGCGAGATCTTGAGTTTGCAAAGGTGCACAATTCAGCCATTTTTTCTAGAAGATCCTCCGGCTGCCCACAATGATCTCAAATTCATCATTGATGGTCTAAGAAAATGCTGTCTGGTTTCTGCTTTCACGACTGGTCTGATGATTTATCAAAGCTTGATCAAGGAATTTTGGAGAAGCGCAATTGTTAAGAGAGATGACGAAGAAGAAAAATATATTGAGGCAATTGTACAAGGCAAGAAAATCCTGATCACAGAACATGTCATTCGAGAATCGTTACACATCAATGACAGACCTGAATTCTCCATGGGAATTGATATGGAACAAACCCAAGAAGTCCTGGACCATATGGGTTATGAAGGATCAGTTCCTCCTACCATCAAGAAATTACTACGTCCTTGCTGGAAGTACTTAGCTCATGTGTTTGTGAGTTGTATTTACGGAAGGAGATCAGGTCCCAACGACATTTCTCTCTTCAACACAGGAGCTATTGCAGCCTTGGCGTTAGGGGTTGAATTTAATTTTTCAAAATTTATTCTGCATGAATTGATTCTCAATATTGAAGGAAACAAGAGGGAAAAGTTCTTGATGTACTTAAGGTTTCTTCAGATCATCTTTAATGTCATGCATCCCGAGATCGAAAGAGGAAATGAAACACTAGATCTCAAGTTTGTCGGTCCGAGTGCTTTTGGCTTAATGAAACAAAATAGAGCTGGAAAATTTGTATTCAAAGGGAAATTTCCTTTGATAAAATTTGGAATATTTGCTGACGATAGTGATCAATCGGAATCAGACAATCTTTCTAATCCCGCAGAAACTAAGGATGTTGTGATTTCAATTTTAGAGCCTGAGAACGAAGACTTTCATGTTTCACCTGCAGTAGCTGTGGCTGAGGAACATGACCACCTACATGATGTAGATGTTGAAGGAAATTTTGATCGAGAGGTAGGAGATGAGGACTTCAAGGGTGATGATGATTTCCTGAAAGAGCCGGATTTTACTAGGATCAGCGATGATATCCCCTCGAGTATTGAACTTAATCTCGATGATGATGATTGTGGTCCACTTCCGGGATTCGACAGCAGGTGTTTTAAAAAGGTTAATGAAGTTGCTCAACCAGCAACCGAGACTGGGGAAGATGTTAGTGCTCTCAAAATTTTGCTTTCTTCTTCAAAACCTATGGAGGTCTCTTCAAGTCCAAGAGATGTGGTTTCAGAGATTCCTCCCCCTGAATTAAATGTCTCTACTTCTGCTCCACTTTTAAGTGAATCGAAACAACCCTAAACCTCCCTGTCTCCTTTGAAAATAAGACGATTAAATCCAAGGCAGGGAGTGTCCACTATAAGCCAGGCACCACCAGTCTCATCTATTGTTACCACCACTACAGTCTCTACTCCACCAATACCGTCAGAAGAAGGCCCGAGCACAATATACGAAGCAGGTGGTTTATCCTCTATTCCAGAGTATTTTCCTTCAAGGCCCTCACAGGATGAAGCCTCTATTAGGTTGGCCAAGCACCTAGCTCAGAACAGTCCAATTTCTTCCTCCCAGGGAAAAGCCATATCTTTCGAGGAAGAACATTCAGGTGATGATAAGACTTTAGTGTCAAAATTTCGTGAAGAAATCGGTATTATCAGACAAGACGTTATAGAAAAGAACATCTTGCTGGATCAACACGAGTCTTATATCATTGAGCTCCGAGAAAGAGATGAACTGAAGACAAAACAGATTACGGATCTGCAGACAAATCTTGGTTCTTTAACAGCTTTTTACTACGGATTGAAGAATATCATGTATGATGCTTTTGGTGACAAATTCAAAGCTTTGTTTCAGTAGCCTCACGGAATTATAGATCCTCCCGTGGCTCCCACCCAATCCACAGAAGGCGATTTTCCAGTTGATCCACCTCTTCCAAGGACAACTACAGTTGTTAATGGGTTTGATAAAGAACCTGAAAATAGCAGATCCAGCATCACCATCAAGCAAGGGAAAAGGACCGTTACTGCCAGCAAAAGCGAACGATTACTTTTCATGAAAAACTCGAATGAAAATCACAAAGCTAAAGATCCCGTGCTGACTGTGATGGACCTCAAAAAGAGAAAGTTTGGTGACGAGTTTGGAGATCGATCCGAAATCAGAATGTGGGCTTTTAATCCCGAGTCGAACATGTGGGTCGTAAAAAGGAACTCTGGAATCCCTAAGTATTACAAAAGTATTCATGATTTCAACTCGTGGACAAAAGTTGATCTTGTTGAACTTTCAAGAGCCCTATTTCATAATCCTTCAGAAGATCCCAGCACGACAAATTTTAAAAGATTTCTAGATAGGCAGGTCAAGGAGAACTTCTCAAAGATGAAAACTGCAAAGGCCCTGTACAGAAAAGATACGGATGTTCACGATCCTGAATCTGGTGAGCCAATGAAGATCATATTGTGGCCAGCAACGAAACAGCTAAAGGAAATTCCTATCCCTCAACATTTTCATGAGGGATACCTTGACAATATGGAATTCTGGGCGTTTGATGATGAAAATGCCACTGCTGCCATCAAATTCAAAGATAGAGAACAAGTTCTAAGGCTGATCAGTGCTAAGGATCTTCTCAAATTCAGAGAAAGAGATATTCGTACTCTGTCTCGTCACCAAATCATTTGCCGAAAAGATGTCATGGAGGCTGCTGCCAAAGAATTTACTGGAATGGTTGCCACAATCATTAATGGGAAACTTTGGATGGGATCCATGGGAAAGTCTGATCTGAAGCTGTTTAAAAAATCTGGAGAATGAAGACCAAGTCAATGCTAGCCTCAAACCAAGGGGAAGATTGAAAGGCTATACTTTTGTGGTTTCGGCTAGGCATTCTTTTGTATAAGATCTTGGTAGGTTGATAGAGTATGGTGTGGTGGTATATGTTAGATAAGTTTTTGTGTGTGTGTGTGTGCAGCTACACACGTGTGTGCGGCCGCACACGGCGTGTGTATCAGCACATGTGTGTGCGACTGCACACTGGTGTGCAGCTATGGGTAGTATAAAAAGGTTGTGTATGTGTGTCAGAATAGTGACGTATGTATGTGTGTGTTTCAAGGTGTACCTGAAATTTATGAGTAATAGATGTGTGCATGCTTGATGTTATTTTTCTTCTACTCTTTCTACACTCTACTTGATTGTTGATATTTCATTGATTACTGATTTGGATCCATAAGATTTGGGACTTACAACAACGAAGATGACCCGATAGATGACACAACATAACAAACCTTTCAATCCACAAACACCATTCCAATGACAGACCCCGCCAACACAGAAGTTCTTGTCACTATCTCCAGTAGCCCTACTTGGCGCATCTTCACCCTAAGCCCTCCGAGTGATAGGTTATGTTGATGGCCATCCTGTCACAGTCCTAGTTGACTGTGGAAGCACACATAACATCGTGCAACCCCGCATCGTTGCCTTCCTAAAATTACCCACCAACCCAATATCAACATTCTCAGTTATGATTGGAGATGGATCCCACATCCATTGTCATGGATATTGCCTAGATGTTGAACTACACCTTCAACCAGCCAATTCACTACCCCTTTTTTTCGTCCTACCAATAGGAGGGGTTGATGTCGTGTTGGGACTCCAATGGCTTAGCTCTCTCGGACCCATCATATCCGATTTTTCTATTCCTCAAATTACATTCAACCACCACAACAAAGCCATCACCTTAGTTAGCGAACCCCTTGTCTCATCTGTCACAGCAAGCTCTATCCACCATCTCCTTCAGAAAAATTCGATAGCATCCATGCACACTCTTCTCTTTGAACCACACCAAATAAACCACCTTAACACCAATCCCATCATCCAAAACCTAATTCACGAATTTCACCACATATTTAACCCACCCTCTACCCTACACCACCGAGACCTCATGATTACCGCACTCCACGGAACAGTTGTTCAGAGTAGAGGAAACTCTTTTCATCCATGTTTGCCCTTATGAAGTGGTAGTGTAGTAGTCTCGGAGGTCTTGTAACCATGGTGAAGTGGGAAAGGATATTGGTATTAATTGGTGATTTTCTTATCTGCTTAATGCATCTGCCACACGATTATCTTTCCCTAATTTGTAAAACACTTCAAAATCGTATCCAAGTAGTTTGGCTGCCTACTTATGTTGTTATGGAGTTGGAATGACTTGGGTGAGGATGTGTTTGAGGCTTCGTTGATCTATGAAGACCCGAAAACGACGACCCAGAAGATATTGGCACCATTTTTTTGATTGCTTATGTGGTTGCATAGAGTTCCCGGACATACATGGAGGCAACCTGCATACGTGAACATAATTTCTTGCTAAAACGCAATCGGGTTCTCAGACTGAGAGAGTACCGCTCCAATTCCTGTTTCAGAGGCATCTGTGGTGACATCAAATACTTCCTTGAAATTAGGTAGTGCAAGTGTCGGTAATTGAAGCATCACATTGACCCAGGGGTTCAAAGGTTTAGAATGGAAACCATATGAAAAGTTGTATTTACAGTTCTAAAACGCAATAAAAACATAGCAAAATGATAGTCAAATCATCACCTCTTCAAAAAAGTGGACATTCCCAAACAAAAAAGTGGACGATCTCAAACAAAAACAGAGCTGCTAAGGGGAAATCCAACAACTTAAATGATTGATTATTTCATGTTGATTATCAAACTATAACGTGTTTTTTATTTTAGTGTGTATATAAGTGTGTTTAAATCACTGGAGAGTTGGAGAAAAGGTGTTAGAGATTTTTTTTTTTTTTGAGAGACCTTTTTGTGTTAAATAGTTATTTTTTTTTTTTTTAAGTAAGTAAAAACTTCATAAATGGTCCCTATGGTAATGAAACAACAAAAATACCCTACAGTTAACGGATAAAAGATAACGAAGTTAACAATAAAAACCAATCGTTAAAAGTTTTGAAAACATAAAGATCATCTATGAAAATTTTAAACCATAGGTACTAAACTTGAGATATGGGGAAACCATTTGTTTTTTCCTTACAATTATACGCTTTAACTTCATCAACTTCCTAAAAGAAATCCAAGAATCCATGACACACATACATAAAAAATATAATATAAACAAATAACTTCAACCATTAAGTCCTTGTCAATATCGAATCATTACTTACCTCTTTACTTTGTTTGAATTGGGTTATATAAATAAATAAAAAATACACCATGGTTTTAAGGACACATTCAACAACTTTTAGGGCATTTTCTGTTAAAAACCGGGTTGTAAGATCAAGATATGTCAAAATCCACTCTGAAAAAGAAGTTACATCAAGAGCTTACATTAAGCATAAATAAGCATATATGAGTGTTTGCTCATCTTATCAAGCTTTTGACTTTGCTCGAGATATTAAGTACTTAATAGCTACTTTGGAAAATTGGGTAATTGTGAAAAACATTTGCATGAAAGCACGACTTTTCACAATATTTTCCCGTATTCCTCTTGCTGTTTTAGCTACCACTGGTCCTGCGGATTTCATTGGAACCATCACCTGCATTGATGCTAAGTAAAGATGATGTAAAACTTAGCTCTTGTTTCTTTTCGACTTAATGGACTTCAAGTGGATATGACTTAATCTTTGGTTCTTTTACAAAATGCAGAAAGAACGACTTAATAGTTAAAATCAGGAAAAGGAGACTTTCTCCGTATGTTTTAAGACCATTTTCAACTCATAATACCTTTTTTTGCACCAAAAATATATTCTTCTTTTTCTTTTTTTTAACTTATATAGATTTTCAAAAATACCCCTTACATTTGTTAGTTTTTTTGCAAATTCATCTTGCAACTTTTTTGTTACATTAACTTTATAAAATATATTGACACCACACAATTATAACCAAATTAATTAATTAATGTAAATTTATAACATAATATTACAAGTAATAATTATTACAAGTGGTTTTGGTTTGGAAAAAAAGATGGTGCAAAAAATGGGATTTGGTGTTGGTTGGAGAAGCCCCAACTTTTTTACAAATTTACCCTTTATTTGTTATTTGTATTTTTTTTATCCAGACAACAATGAAAAAAAAAAAAGGAGTAAATTACACGAATGGTCCTTATGGTTTAGGGTAATTTACGTGTTTGGTCCCTAACTTATTTTTTTAACTTGGAAGGTCCCTACTATTTGTTTTTGTTACGCACTTGATCCCTATCTTACCTAAAAAGACTATTTTGCCCTTGATTTTTTAATTTATTTAAATAAACACACCCTCAACCTCACATTACCTTACCAACCCCATCATTTTTCTCTATTTAAATTAAAGTCTTTTTTAGGTAAGACATGGACCAAACGCGTAACAAAAACAAACATTAGGGACCTTCCGAGTTAAAAAAATAAGTTAGGGACCAAACACGCAAATTACCCTAAACCATAGGGACCATTCATGTAATTTACTCAAAAAAAAGTAGTTGGATAAAGTGTTAAATGAATAAATGATATTTGTATTAAAGATAGAGGAAATGACCATTTCACCCTTGTGTGTAGGACTAGGAATGATAATGTTGAGAATATATATTACTAACAAATAACAACTAACCTGATGGATTCATGTTTGTCAATCGCCTCAATCTTTCCTCAGCCAAACGAACTGCACGGGTGGAGCTTTTAACACCTTGTGTTATCTCCTGCCTGCAGAAATATCAGAGTTGACTATGCTGCTTGTTTCTTTTTTATCCAGACTTATAACTTAATGGGAAAAAAAGAATGTTAATGCTAATGCTAACCCTAAATCACTGAGCTCCATTGTTAAGTCACTGATTTCCATTCCTGATAAACGAACAGCAGCCATTGTGTCAGGAAGCTCTTCCCTAGTAACATCAAGAAGTTTTTCAAGAGATTCTGCTGCCCTTTTAAAAGCCTGAATTCAGTCAACCAAATTCGAGAGTCAAAACAGGAGTAAATGGTCAACATATTTAACCTCAATTGTGCAAAAGATGTTAATGCCCTCTCGTCTATATCATTAGAAATAGCCTAGAAAACGTGTTTCTTGTGTAAAAAAACGCATGCTAAGGTATTTGTGTCATGTTTATCAGCCATGTTTTGGTGCAAATGAGACAATGTAAGGACAAACCAAGATTATCACACTGGAGTACAGGAATTATGTTAAAGGATAAAACTGGAAAACTATATTAGTATATGCTAGTTGTAAATGATTGTAAACAGCAAGGTAAAAAGTTCAAGATTCCAAGAACTAACCAGAAGTGTAGGAATTGCAGAGCAGAAAAGCCAAGTAGCTGAGATCGCTGTCTGCAGAATAGGAGTTAATGAGTTATAAATAGTTAAAGATCAAGACCTAGCATCATATCAGTTGTAAACAGTTGGTTATGATTTCTCTGTTTAGTATAAACAGGTCTCCCATGTATTGTATTAAAGAGGTTTGGAATGAATTCCTTTATGTTTGACAAAACTCATATAGATTTTGTAAATCAAAATGTAGCTCAATTTTTAGGGAATTGAAAGGTTACGCACTCACTCTAGGCATCTACAGTTAACTTAATTCACATCAAAGATGTAAACCCCAAGCACAATTCCAATTCACAGCTAATTTTGTCACCAAGGGATTCCTAATTATCATTTATAAGCATTAAGGGAAAACAAACTCAGAGGCTAGCATTCTTGAGACACAAATACCCACAATCACAAGCCTTTAACTTGAAATTCATGGAAAATGAAATCCATGGTAATTTCAAACGATAGCAAATTATTTGAAGAATTACATTGCAAAAAAAATAGAGGAAAGACAAAGTGATACCGCACAAGCGATGAAATTGAGGACGAGGATGTGACGTTGGGTGAGGTTCCATTGCGATAGCGATGGAAGCGACGAAGGTGGAGATCCTACGGAGGAAATGAAGGTAGTGGAAGAAGCAACAGAAGGCTCGAACGAGGACGAAGTGGTTGAATTTGTAGAAAGAGAAGCGAGGCGCCAATTGTGCGGTTGTTGACGGCGGAAGTTCGAAGGATGGAGAGTGACGGCGTTGCCGGTAAACTGTTGGCCGTAATCCAGTTTGGTGGAAGGGCACGAAATCCGCCGCAGATTCAGTGAACTGATCATCGTCTAAACTCTGGAATCACCGGAACGAGACGATGCTGATTAACACGCACATCAATGGTATCGTTTATTTACACTTTCAACCCTCACGTACGTACTGAGCAAGTTCATAGGACTCTTTACAATAGGGGTTTACAATAGGGGTGAGCATTTGGACCGGTGAACCGGATCGAACCCGGACCGGATCGGACCGTTTTTTTGGACCCCCGGACCGGTTCTCGGTTCTAGGAATCCATCCCGGTTCCCGGTCCGATCCGGTTTTTACCGGGTTTAGAACCGGTTGGATCCGGTTTAAAAAAATTTGTAATTTGTGAATTTTTTTTAAACAACCATAACACATTCATTTTAAGTCGGATTGACATGCGATTTTTTTCAATGTTTAATTTACAATTTGTAGATGAATTTAGACTATAATTTTGTTGATTTTGGTATTATATTCAATGAGTTACAGTCTTTCAAAGTTGAGCTATCAAAGCTGAAAAATTTCAGCTTTTCAGCAACATTTTTAAAACTTTGTAATCTATGAAAAATTTTAAACAACCATAACTCTTCATTTTAAGTCAGATTGACACGTGGTTTTTTTCAAAGTTTAATTTACAGTTTGTAGGTGAATTTAGACTATAATTTTGTTGATTTTGGTATTATATTCAATGAGTTGCAGTCTTTCAAAGTTGAGCTATCAAAACTAAAAAAATTTAGTTTTTCAGCAAGATTTTTAAAATTTTGTAATATGTGAAACTTTTTAAACAATCAAAACTCATTCGTTTTAAGTCGGATTGAGCTACGCCTTTTTCCAACATTTAGTTTACAATTTGTAGATGAATTTAGACTATAATTTTGTTGATTTTGGTATTATATTCAGCGAGTTACAATCCTTCAAAGTTAAGTTATCAAGATTGAAATATTTCAACTTTTTAACTATTATTTTAGACTTAGACTATAATTATGAATTTTATGTATCTTTGAAAGATAAATCATATGAAAGGGATCATGGTGAACTTGATTTATATGTTAGTTGTTTTTATTTGGAAAATTAATTTTGCAAGTTATAATATTCTAACATCAAGGTAGATTAGTTATGCATGAAACGGAAACGTAATCATTTTTACAAGTTATATCGTATCAAACCCAATAACATATTCGTTTTAACGAGTTCTATCAAACCCAAAAACATATTCTAACGAGTTGTACTCTATGCATGGAACGGAAACGTAATCATTTTTACAAGTTATATCGTATCAAACCCAATAACATATTCGTTTTAATGAGTTCTATCAAACCCAAAAACCTATTTTAATGACTTGTACTCTATGCAATTAAAGTTGTACCGTTCCAAACGGGTCCAAGAACCGGAAAACCCGGACCTGGACCCGGACCCGGACACGGACACGGACACGACTCATCCGGTCCGGTCCACGGTCCACAATATTATCCATAACCGGTCCGGTCCGGTTCGGTCCAAATGTTCACCCCTACTTTACAACATTGAACAAAAAGTCGATAACCCAATAAAGTATTTAATCATCCATTTCATAAAGTAACTTTTATAAAATTACAACAATTTGATTAATTTCGAATAACTTTAGCTAGAAAAATAAAATAAAATAATAATAATAATAATAATTTGAATTATTACTATTTTATAAATTTATTCATTTTTCAGCACAGTTCGTATATTCTACAAAAATACATATTAAATAATGAAAAAAAAAACGTTTAAGTCACAGAAATCATTAATAAAGTAAGACTAAAAATAAAGCAAAACCACTAAATCTCATGAGATTCCGGTTTAACCACTGTATTTTATTTTGATCTATAAAAAGTATTCATGAATGGCAAAAAAATATCAACACAAAACCAGTTTTACAAGGTCTTTTTGTTTTAAGAAAGTCACTCGTGTTGTGAAAAAAGTTTTTCACAACCACCATTATGAACGGTAACATAAATGTATTTCTTATAATCAAAATAACAACCTATCAATAGAAACGTTCTATTATTTATTTATTTTCCTCATAAAGTTAAAAAAAAAAAAAAACAAATTGCCAAATATGTATAGCATCCATTAAAAAAAACTATATGGTTCCAAACAACGTTATTTTCTTATCTAATAAACAAAAATAAAAAATAACAAAAATAAAAAAAAATAGGCTCGTATAGGCACTTTCATAATGTAAAAAAAATGTTGTTTTGGTATTCTCATTAAAAAAGATAGTAGGTAAAATAATATTTTTTTTACTTTTTGTTTATTTTATTGAAATAGCATAAGAAATAACATTTTATTTCTTGATTAATGAACAATAGCTTTTAAATATGTATTTTGAATCAGTGGTTTGTTTATAAATGTCTTGTAGTTTGAAACTATATAGTTTGTTTGAATGGCAAATATACATATATGATAATTTGTTTTTTTGGCTTTTGAAAAGAAATATATAACAGAATGTTTATATTAGATTGTTGTGTACGGGTGACACGATATACCCACACACAAGAGTGTCATATCATCATTTATGCATAACATCTAAATTGGATGGTGTTGATTTTATTGAAACGCATTGAGGAAGAAGAAAAGCACAAAAACAAAGGAAAAAAGAAAGAAAAATGGGTGTTGCTCACTGTCGTCGTTACAACGAGTCTTACCAAACGGAAGTAGGGGCGGTATTCCAGCTGTTATGACCATGTTGTGAAGGTGTCACATCATCCCTCCACACCGTTTTTTGGTCTCATACCGACTAGTCTTAATGTATTGATAATAAGAAGTGCATTCATGTTATCATTTGTAGTAGCTGTCGCAATGAGATTTTTAAAATATGAAGAACTTTTTTATAACCAAAAAAACATGCACAAACTATAAAACCGGCACCAACAAGTCAAAGTGGCTATGTTGAATTTTTTTGTTAATCATGAGTGGTTTTTGTAGATCAAAATAAAACACCATGATTAAATCGGTTTCGGATGAAACCCTTTTATGTACTTTTCCCTTTATATTATGCAATATACCTACACACATCCTACCCCTCAAGCATCAACAAAAATATGCGCTAATTACCAGTTAACCTGGAAAATGTCCCTTCTCCATTTACTATAAACTCGAAGTATGAGACCATTATAATAACCATGGTGTTGATACATGAGAAAAAGACTTATACTAGTAAAAAGTAACAATGATATAACTTACCTTATTGTCGTGTGCCAACATCCATAAGATATAACATCCTAACTTTGGGCCTAGAGTTTGTCTCTTTCTAGTATGTATGTATGTATGTGTGTGTGTGTGTGTATATATATATATACAACATAGTCTTAAACATCAGCCGCCTTCTTCTTCACCTCTAGTCATCACCACCATGGCAGCCTGCATCCGTCACCCGTTATTTCGCCATCATAGGAACACCACCACTGTCGAGAATGTAGCGGACATCCGATAGGTCCACCAAAGGTCGGAGGCGGAACGAAGAGTGAAGGGGTGGGTCGTGAACCACCGTTAGATGTTGTTGTGACCGCCTTCCAGTGTCGTTGTCTTCTCCGTACACCACCATGAGGTAGGTGATTGTATTTATCTATGAGCAAGGACGTGTAGGTGTGGGTTGTGTAGTCATTCCTTCGTTAATGTGGCTGCTTAACCGGGAACAAAAGAGAAACCACCGCTGCCACCGTGTAACATCCCAAAGTGCAGGAATATAAGTTCGGGGTGCTATGTGTAAATAAATGAGTAGACTCGACGAGTAGGTGTCTTAACTCGTCGAGGCGGGGCGGGTGATGGGCACGTGTTAAGTGACCCGACTCGTCGAGTCGGTGGCTGGACTCGATGAGTTGATTCTGGGAAGAGAAACCCCTAATTTTAGGGTTTGCACCCTATTTAAAGGACCTTAAGTCCTCACCCCAGTCTCTTTGTTACCCCTTGAGAGTCAGGAAACCCTAATCTCATGTGTGAGCCATTGTAGAGAGTTTTAAAGCTTTGGAAGGTGATTTTAGTAAAGGAGGCTTGTAGATCAAGAGGCAAGCATCAAGGAATTTGTGTAGATCCAGAGTCTACTTCAGCTTGGGCACATCTTGGAGGTAACAAGTCGTTACCTTGATCTCGCCTCTTCTAGATCTACTCATTGATGGAGTTTGGGGCCATTTTAGCATGTTTAGGACCCATTTCGGGTTTTGGGTCTAGATCTGAGGTTGCAACTTAAGATCTAGACTTGTCTTGGTCCATGGAGGCATAAAGTATCAGCCCTTTTAGCATGTATGTGAGCATTCTTGTCTTGAACCTTCTCTCTAGCTTGTATTGAGCAAATACCACCTTGCATACACGTAAAGTTGGAAATTTTACGTGTAAAACTAGCCTTAGGAATCCAGATCATGAGTTGGAAGCAGTGGGATGGAATGAAATCGTCTAATTGGGGATGACTTAAGTGAACTCTGCGATTCTATTCTTGGACTCGACGAGTCGGGTCGCAAACCCTAACCCATCTGGTTACGATGAGGATCAGTGAATTAAGTGGTGACTCAGTGAGTTGGACAGGCTAGGACTCGGGGTTTGATGAACTCGATGAGTCATGAGGTGACTCAGCGAGTTAAGTCGTGATATGAGGGATTTCTGAGTTTAAGAACTCGATGAGTCAATGGGTTGACTCGACAAGTAGGGTCAATCAGAAAGGTTGACTTTGACTAGGACTTTGACTTTGACCAAGAGTTAACCAATTTGACTTCCAAGGGTATTCTGGTAAATTGGGCACTTATAGATTTGGTTGGTCATAACTTCTTCGTTATAACTCGGATTTCGATGAGGTTTTCGCCTACAAGTTTCTAACGAGATGATTTACAACATCAAATATAAAACTTTACTTATTTCAAATTTTATATTTTCGCTAAATTTCACTATTTGGCTTTTAATTGGGATCTCATAAGACTTCCAATATTTTCTTAGTGATTCTAAACATAGTTTTACTTCATTTCTAGTAAAAACCATCTTGTTAGAACTCAACACTCAATTTTATTCACTTTTAATAATAACAATACACAATTCCAGAACGTGTATGTTACAAATACCTCCTCCTTTTGAGGATTTCGTCCCCGAAATTATAACGATTAAAATAAATGGGGATACTTCG